GTTTTATTTCATTGAAATTTGTTTGAAACCATTGATAAGCATCATAGGCTTGTCGAATTGTTACAAATTTAAGTACAGGACCACGTGTCATACCATCATTAAAAACAATTGTTTTAATACCAAGTTTTGACATTGTTACTGCTTTACATCCACGATTTGTACTAGCAACAAGTGCACCTAAAGAAGAAGATTTTACTATGTTTGTTCATAGAAACAATAATTCAATATGCTCTATAATCTTGACAAATACAAAATATGTTTAACGAAAAGTTTGTTAGTGTCGGCAAATCAATTTTCTAGAAAACCAGTATATCAAGGCCTGAAGGGATTTCCTTGCGGTCACATTCGGAATCGGCGTGGTCGATAACCGAATAGGTTTAGTGAAAAAAGCGATTGATCAGTTCCTTCATCAGCAAATTATCTTGATAAATTTATTCTTATAAAAAAACAAAATTCCAAATAATAAAATAATCATATTTACCTTCCGTAGTAGCCATTGGTATATAAAAATATTTATTATCAACACGTAAAGGACCAGCATATCCAATTGGTAATTGAACATATCCAACAACATTTTCACAACATTGATTAGTAACTAATGAATAATCATAATGTTCATAAGGTAATGAATCAAGTGAAAATGAAACATTTTTTGTTGAAATTATTTGTTGATTTAATACTAAACGACGTATGTATACTGCTTTTAATGATGGTAAATATTTTTCAAGATTATGTACAGCTAATTTTTTTGTTTTAATTAGCGATAAAATTTGTTCATCCGTTAAAAGAGAATAATTAATAATCGTTGTTGTATCGGATGTTTTAAATTCTATTGTTGGTAATAATAATGTTGATGAAGTCGAACAAATTGATTGAGTTGTTTCTTGTTGATGAATAAGATTATGAACTTTAAATAAAGAAACATCTAAAATTAGAAACTATTAGCAGAAGAACTACAAAATAGTCTCTCTACCATCAGTTTTTGATATAATAGGTTTTTGTATAATTTCTGATTGTTCATTAATAATTAATGTCTTATCTTTATTTTCATCGAAGATTTTTCCGATAAATATATCAAATATTCTTGTATATCTTGATGTTTCACGTCCAGATGGTGCAACAACAAGACATGATAAACAAATTGTGAGTACTAATCCTAATGCTAATATTTCGCAAATAGATAATGCTGAAATTTTTAAACCAAATAAAGCTAAACCTAATACTTTAATAATTTTAAAACGATGTAAAATCGAATTAAATTCATCCGTATTTGTTGTTAAATATATTTCTTGAGAATTTTCATCATCAGATATTATTGTATTTATAAAAAATGAATGAAGAACACAAAGCACACATGGAAAAACAGCTATTTGTGAACACCAACTTGCAATAATATAAATACTTGCCATATTACTTAATGTAGTAACAGTTATAATATCACTTAAACGACCTAATCGAACAATTAATAGAGCAAAAACATGATCTACACAAATATGTCGAATCCAACGACGTAAAATGAAATTTGGAGATTGTTTTTGATTAGCTGAATTTGATGAAAAAAGTATTGATGCTAATGCAACACATTGTGTTGCATTCCATAAAAATGATGATACTGATAATAATAATATTAAATGAATAGCTATTGGTGAAAAATAATTTGTTACATTTAAATTAGATAAATTTATTAATGTATTTGATTCAAATATATGAAAGAATGTTTCACAACTAAGACATGTGCATAAAAATGATAACAATAAAATTAGACGATATTTATGTGGATTTATTGAATATATTTGAAATATTAAATAAATGATTGAAGTTAAAGCAATTGAATAAAATGTTGAATCATAAAAACGAACAGTTGTTGTTACTGTTGTCATTTGATCATGATTTATTGACATCACGTAGATAAATATAGAGCAATAATTAAGTTTTGCTGTTCTATTTATAATAACAAGAATTAGTGTCAATGATGTATATATACGTACAAATATTAGCCAAAAAGTAACGACCGTGACCAAATGAAAGACTAAAATGGAACATTTACATTACTATATCGAATGCATTTACATCAGCCACAATTATTCATATGTTTTTGAGGTAACGTCGCGAAACATGACTTTGATCCGTATATTTGACAACGTTTTCTTCATGTTTTTAGGAATTATTTACGTTGAATAAAATACTGCTGATTCATTCTTGGCATATATGACGTAAATCGAATGTGTATAGTCATGTCTGAGTGTCGTTTATGACAAACTAAGAATGATTGTAATGACGTAGATTAAACCGGTTTTTGATTTTACAACTAATTTGCCCGTAATGAGTGATATTTTCTGTGTAACTTGATCGATAAAAGCAATATTTTCTTCTGATTCGCTGATTTCTTTGTATTTTTTTTCTTTAAAAAAATCATATCATATTAGTCACAAATATTGATGATTCATAGTAGTTTGTGTGTGTACTCTACCTGTGTTACTCAACATAAATGATGATACTGTACAGGTCATATTTCTGCTCACGCGATTAATGTTTATTGTTGCAAATAATTGCCTGATTGAAATGAATAGTAAAACTCGCCGTATTCTGCTTTAGCTGAATTTTAGTAAAACTTTTTTCTTAAGCTGAAAAAGAACTATTGAATTTTTCTAATATGATGATTATATTTTTAATAACTGTTAAATCAAAGTTCATTTACAAATGGATAATGTTGTTAAATCCATAGTTTTCATAAGATATGATTACAGATAGATTTCTTTTGAATATAGTCATTTTTTTAACGCGAGTGATTGAGCCCAACAAAAATGAAAGTAAATGCTTGAATATAAATAACAGACATGCATTATAAATGTGATTTTACATAAAATCTTAAATTTTCGACTTTTATTATCATTATTTTATGAATATTTGATTATGATTAAAATTAAAATAAGATTAGTTTTTTTTTGTTTATGATTGCTTTTTATTCGGTTTTTTTAAAATATTGTTTCTCTAAAATTCCATTGATGTTGTCATCTCTGTTAATGATGACCATATACAAAAATAAAGGTCGAACATTTCAGATTTAATGCAAAACTAAATTTATGTTACATTTCTTTTTCATTATGATTCAAGGAGAATATCACGCATTGATTCACTCGATAAGTTAACATCGTCATTTTCTTACTAATATAAGTACAAAAAAAGAAATTAAAACAATGATAAAGATAGTGACAAGTGATTCAGTGATGAAGTGCGTATATTTGAGCCGTAATTATGTGATTCAATGTATGTTATAATTAGTCATTTTTCAGTGGCGAGCCGACAGCGTGGCAAAGTGTGGCATTTCTCACATCAGATATTTCGGTTCTGACCCGCCACTGTCACTTTTGCATGTACATATGACCAGAAGTGACTTGATAAGTGATCGTTATTGTTACCAGCTTTTGTCTTCGTGTTGTTTTCAAAATGAAATAGATATAAAAAATTTTAAAATCTAAAATTACAAAAAAATGCAATGTTGAAGATCTTCTGCAAACATCATGTATCAAAAAATTAAGAGAAAATTTTTGGTAATGAGTAAAACAGGTAAATAAATTCTATCAGCTTCTGAGAGATCTGATCACCTGACAAAATCCGTGTGACAGAAGCATCAACATATCCAATGTTACACGTCCGATATATATTCAATGGTGAAGCCTAACACTCGAATCGTGATGCTTCTCGAGACTTCTAGATCTTTATTTTGTTTCTAAGAGTTTCGAGTTCACATCTATCTAGACGGAGGAGTCATGTGCATGGACGGATTAGATAGAAGTCTGTGAATGAGATTTGTATGAACAACTACGTCTAAAGAGGGAAATATTACTTCATTCACTAGTCAGACATAAGTTACAGAGAGATGATCCGAAAGAGAGAGCTCGACATGGGAATTCGGAGTTTAGAGCTCATTTTTTGATGTCTATTTGCTAAATAAGTATTCACTTAGCTACTGTTTTATTTAATTAGTGCTCTATTCGGGGGAGTGTTAATTGACAGAAAGGCAAAAGATCGAAGGGAAAAATATCGAAACGCAAAATCTCGACCAGAAAAAGTCCGAAAAAAAACATCGAATCGGCAAAATCTCGAAATACAGAATGTCAACCTACAAAATTTAGAAAGATAAAATCTCGAAAATTCATAAAACAATCAATAAGAGTAGAGTTTTGCTCAAAACTACTTTTCATTACAATGGTCCCAGCCGAGCTCCACTGACTTATGAGTCACATTCCTTCAAGTGTCGATGTCGGTTTGAACGCATTTTCGAGCGTGAGTGAGTTTGGGTGTTGATCTTGATGATAGTAGGCCTGGGTGTGAGCCGTTAATCCACTCACATCCAGTAATCACACTTGACACCGACCTTCATACTCTAACCGTCAATATCTCAAAATGCAGAAGTTGATTCGTAAGGAAATCTTTGAAGTTTACTGTTACTTACCAAAAGAATATGAAAGCGAAGAAGAGATTTTCGAAACAGTGCTGAATTTTTTCTTATGATCATGCTACTTGGCACTTTTCTCTTGTGCTAATTTTACTCTCTAGCTACAATGGTAAAACGCTGCATCACAGCCGATGATGTATATGTATCCTCTTTATTTCCACATTTTGATCCTTTTTCAACAAACTTATGATTAATAAACCAAGTATCTAACAAGTACTCGAATTGTTTTTACATTTTAGATTTTCGAGATTTCTATTTCTCGATTCTTGCCTTTCGAGATTTTTCCTTTCGGGCAACTAACACTGATTCCTCTATTCCGGCACTAGAGATTTACTTGTAATTACTTGATGAGATTTTCGACACTAATTTTACAGGTTTCTACCTGATTTTATATAATTTGGATAGTATCTGATAAGATTCCGCTGCTGGATTAATTCTCCTGAGTAGTTTAAAGGACAAGTGGCGGTAAGGCCATTTTTTCGCCCCCAATATTTTGAAAAAACAATTACATATTCGGAATCAGCCTTAAATTCTGAGTAAAATGAGGTATTTTTTCTGGAGAAAAATGTTTTTCATTTTACACCTGGTTTTTTACACCTGTGGGGGACCCCAGAGTTGTCGAAA